ACTTTTGGATGAAGAAGGTTCAAGTAAATCCCCAGTTCATTCAGACAGAGCTTTGAAGGAACTCTCCAAGGTCCTGAACCTGATTGCCATCACAGTTTCAGCACCTTGGAGAATGCTTTTAGTGCCCAATATAAAAACTGAAAAGGATTCCAATGATATGAGATTTTGGGGGAGTTTAAGGAAAACTATTTAAGGCTCTGAACCAATTTTAAGAATAGGGTATGGCCCCTGGAATTGAAGCTTCCAATATAAACACTAGATTGGACTCCTTTGATGGGGATCCTTGGTGGGTTCAAAAGGAGTTACCCAAGGCCTTGAACTTCTATGGCAGTGGTTCTCAACCTGGGGTCCCCAGATGTTTTTGGCCTTCAACTCCCAGAAATCCTAACAACTGGTAAACTGGCTGGGATTTCTGGGAGTTGTAGGCCAAAACACCTGGGAAACCACAGGTTGAGAACCACTGGGTTAGACCCATTGAGTTGATTTCCACTGAGAAAATCTGAGTAGACCCATTGAGCTGGCTACCATTGAGTACACCTAACCATTCAGTAGACCTATTAAAAAGATCCAACCATTGAGTAAACCCAATCTGTTGACCATCCCTGAGTAGGCACAACAATTGAATAGACCCATTAAATTGACTACCATTGAGTAGACCAGCATTGAGTAGGACAATTGACTAGACTCATTTAATTGACTACAATTGTGTAGACTTATCACTGAGTAGACTCAACCATTGAGTTGATCCATTAGGTTGGCTACCACTGAATAGATAGGCTGAGAACTACTGCTCTATGGGAATAGGAATACAGTCACAATAACCTTGCATTGTAGATGCACCTTTGGATGAAGAAGGATCACGTAAACTCCCAGTTCATTCAGACTGAGCCTTGAAGGAACTCTCCAAGGTCCTGAACCTGATTGCCATAACAGTTTCAGCACCTTGGAGAAAGCTTTTAGTACCCAATATAAAAACTGGAGAAGATTCCACTGATAAGAGATCTTGAGGGAGTTTAAAGAGAACTATTCAAGGCTCTGAACCAATTTTAAGAATAGGGTATGGCACCTGGAATGAAAGTTTCCAATATAAACACTGGATTGGACTCCATCAATGGGGATCCTTGGTGGGTTCAAAAGGAGCTACCCAAGGCCCTGAACCTCTATGGCAGTGTTTCTCAACCTGGGGTCCCCAGATATTTTTGGCCTTCAACTCCCAGAAATCCTAACAGCTGGTAAACTGGTTGGGATTTCTGGGAGTTGTAGGCCAAAACACCTGAGGACCCACAGGTTGAGAACTACTGCTCTATGGGAGTAGGAATGGGGTCACAATAACCTTGCATTGTAGATGCACCTTTGGATGAAAAAGGATCACGTAAACTCCCAGTCCATTCAGACTGCGCTTTGAAGGAACTCTCCAAGGTTTTGAACCTTATTGCCATAACAGTTTCATCACCTTGGAGAAAGTTTTTAGTGCCCAATATAAAAACTGGAGAGGATTCCACTGATAGGAGATCTTGAGGGAGTTTAAAGAGAACTATCCAAGGCTCTGAACCAATTTTAAGAATAGGGTATGGCACCTGGAATGGAAGCTTCCAATATAAACACTGGATTGGACTCCATCGATGGGGATCCTTGGTGGGTTCAAAAGGAGCTACCCAAGGCCCCGAACCTCTATGGGAATGGGAATGGAGTCACAATAACCTTGCATTGTAGATGCACCTTTGGATGAAGAAGGATCACGTAAACTCACAGTTCATGCAGATTGAGCTTTTAAGGAACTCTCCAAGGTCCTGAATCTGATTGCCATAACAGTTTCAACACCTTGGAGAAAGCTTTTAGTGCCCAATATGAAAACTGGAGAGGATTCCAATGATATGAGATTTTGGGGGTGTTTAAAGAGAACTATTTAAGGCTCTGAACCAATTTTAAGAATAGGGTATGGCCCCTGGAATGGAAGCTTCCAATATAAACACTGGATTGGACTCCATCGATGGGGATCCTTGGTGGGTTCATAAAGAGCTACCCAAGGCCCTGAACCTCTATGGCAGTGGTTCTCAACCTGGGGTCCCCAGATGTTTTTGGCCTTCAACTCCCAGAAATCCTAACAGCTGATAAACTGGCTGGGATTTCTTCGAGATGAAGGCCAAAACACCTGGGAAACCACAGGTTGAGAACCACTGGATTTGACCCATTTGAGTTGATTTCCATTGAGAAAATCTGAGTAGACCCATTGAGCTGGCTACCATTGAGTACACCTAACCATTGAGTAGACCCATTAAAAGGATCCAACCATTGAGTAAACCCAATCTGTTGTCCATCCTTGAGTAGGCAAAACAATTGAATAGACTCATTTAATTGACTTCAATTGTGTAGACTTATCACTGAGTAGACTCAACCATTGAGTTGATCCAGTAGACTTAATCACTGAGTTGATCTAAATTGACTACCATTGAGTAGACCAGCATTGAGTAGGCACAATCGACTAGACTCATTTAATTGACTACAATTGTCTAGACTTATCACGGAGTAGACTCAACCATTGAGTTGATCCATTAGGTTGGCTACCACTGAATAGATAGGTTGAGAACTACTGCTCTATGGGAATAGGAATACAGTCACAATAACCTTGCATTGTGGATGCACCTTTGGATGAAGAAGGATCACGTAAACTCCCAGTTCATTCAGACTGAGCTTTGAAGGGAATCTCCAAGGTCCTGAACCTGATTGTTATAACAGTTTCAGCACCTTGGAGAAAGCTTGTAGTGCCCAATATAAAAACTGGAGAGGATTCCACTGATATGAGATCTTGGGGGAATTTAAAGAGAACTATCCAAGGCTCTGAACCAATTTTAAGAATAGGGTTTGGTGCCTGGAATGGATTCACACAACCAATACCCAAACTCTACTCCGCCAGATGTTTTGGACTTCAACTCCCACTAGTCTCTATTGCCTTGGCAATGGTCATAGGTGATGGGAGCTGAAGCCCAAAACAATTGGAAGACCAGACTTTGAGAAACACTGTTAAATTAATGGAGTTTGATCCAACTTGGACTGGAATCCTGGGTGTTGCAATTCGATAAGACCAAGCTACAAATCTCAGGTTCCTCAGCATTGAGCCATGGCAGTTGGGTCGATTTCCATTCATTCTACACCAGTGGTTCTCACCTTTCTAACACCGTGACCCCAAAATATGGTTCTTCATGTTGTGGTGACCCCCAACCATAAAATTATTTTCAAGAGTGCAAAGCAGGTGAGGCAGGCTTTGTGCAAGGTCAGCCCTCACCTGGCCCACACCCTTGTTGGCCAACAAGAGTGCAAGGCAGGTGAGGGCTCCTTCATGCTAGGCCTGGCCTTGCGCAAAGCCTTGGGGGGTGGGGCCAAAGACTTGGGGTGGGGCCAAAGGAGGCAGCCTCGCGATCCCTCCGAAATGGCCAAATGACCCCCTTGGGGGTCGCGACCCCCAGGTTGAGAACTGCTGTTCTACACTGTAGATCACGCAAGGGCAAACTTCAGCCCTCCAGGTGTTTTGGACTTCAACTCCCACAATTCCTAACAGCCAGCAGTCCAGAGACCGGCCACACATGCTGACTCCGGCACATACAAGGATTATTTGGTCAAGGAGAAAGGACAATGGATACTTCAAAGCAGAGAAGAATCTGGGTTAAAAGATTGGTTCAGTTTTTTCCAGCTACACGACAGATTTAGGAAGGATGCAAAAGAAGGATTTGCCTCTAATAAATCGGAGTTAGAAAGTATTTTTGAGAAGGGCAACAAAGGCCTAATATCCAGACTTTACAAATACATTTTAGAATATAATTTAGTAGACAACCAAATAAAATCCGTTATGATCACGTGGGCCCAAGATGTTGGCAGAAATATCGATCTGGAAGAGTGGGAATGTCTTTGGAATAAGGGCTTTAGATTCTCAGTGGCCAGCTCAATTAGAGAAAATATGTTTAAAATGTTTTACAGAACCTATATAACCCCAGAGGTACTAGCTAAAATAGAGAAAACAGGACAAGGGGCTTGCTGGAGATGCAAGAAGGTGAAGGGATCTTTTTTCCACGTATGGTGGACCTGTAACATAGTTAAAGAATTCTGGAAAAAAGTGATGAAAGAAACAAACAAAATGATCAGCAAAAAATCAAGAAAAACCCAGAAATGTGCTTATTAGGAATATTTAGGAGGCGTATTAGCACAGGAGATGAAGAAATTTGTCAGTATTGTTTTGTTGCTGCGAGACTAATAATAGCTAAATCGTGGAAGGGGGAAAAAGAGTTAAATATTAAGGATTGGAGAGATAAATTAGTAGACTATATCCAAATGGCCAAACTGACAAATAGCAGCAGAGGTGGAAATAATGAAGAATTTGTTGAAAAATGGCGGTTGGCAATTGGATATCTTGAAAAGAAGACAAAAGTAGATTTGAAGATTGCCATAAAGGGGATTCAGTGAAAGAAGATACGTGGGTAGTTGCGGGTTAGTTATGTGATCCATATGGAGTGGTGTCGGAGGTCACAGGGGTTGGGGTCACGGGTGTGGGGTTAGAGGGACAATAAATGTTAATGTATTATAACTGTACAGTCAACGTTGATTTTTTATATGTTTAATGAGCGCTGACTGTATACCATTCTGCTAACTGGCATACTCTTTTGTATTTCTTTTTTTCCTCTCTTTTTCTCTTTCTTTTTTACTTTTTACTTATTTTGGTTTTCCTTTGGTGTCGGTTTTGTTTTCTGTATGCACCACAAACCAATAAAGAAATTTTTTTTTAAAAGGAATTGTGAGAGTTGGAGTCCAAAACACCTGGAGGGCTGAAGTTTGCCCTTGCCTGCTGTAGATGCACCCTATGTTAAACCAAAACATCTGAAATGTAGATATTGCCACAAATGTTTTTATTGGGTATTATGGATAAATATGTAGAAGTTGAGAAAAATATGTGCATGCTCAAAATTGGAAACAGGCTAAAGCAAACTGAATGTAGATGCAGCCAAAGGCCACTATCCGGAGGGGTCATAATGTCCCAGGACCCCAAAAGCACTGACCACAGGGGGTATAGTGTCCGATGGGTTGGTCACCCAGACATCAAAAATGGACTTGTTGGGGGGCATGGCTTGATCCAGATCTAGGAGCGACGTGGAAGAGAGGACCGGACTCAAGGCTGGCCTTGGCATCAGATCCCAATACACTGGACTGGCGAAGGTGGGCATCGGGGTGTAGAAACTGGCACCGGAGGCCCCCGCAAAGGCCAAAAAGGGCATGCCATGGCTCGGCGGGGCCACCACATTGGGGGCCACAGACTTGGTGTAAGATGTAGGGAGCTGCTCCAAATGCAGGGTGGAGGGAACTGGGTCCGCGCCGGTCTCGGAAGAATCAGAATCAGAGCTACTGCTCGCAGGGTCCCGGGTTTGCTTTGGGAAGCCCCGCTTTGGCCTCGCTCTCCCGGCTGGCCCCAAGTTTGAGAAGGCTGAGGGGCCCTTCCAAGGTGGAAGGGGCCCACTGGTGTTGGCCTGGAAGATGGGCACTGGCTCCCACGTGGCCCGGCCCACCTCCCGGACATCGCTGAGCAAGTTCTCCATGTCAAAGGGGTTTTCCTGGGTGGCTGCCAGGTTGTGCAAAGGAGCCTGGGAGGGGTGGATGCTAAAGGGAATCCCATTGAACACATACGGGGAGAGGTCTGCAGGGAAGACCCGGTCCTCCTGGCGGGAGATGGGGGTGTTCTGCAGGCGGAGGGCTTCCGGGGGGATGCGTTGGATGTCTACCGTCCAGAAGTTCCCCTTGGCTTGTGGCTTGGAGGGGTCCTTCAGCACCTGCAGAGAGAGCGGGAGGGTCAGGTAGGATGCAGGATCCAGTTGGGAAGGATGGACACCTGTAGGGAGGGCTTGGGTTGTGCATTCCTGCATGGAATGCACAACCTATGGGAGTCTATGATGATGATGATGACGACGACGACTACTACTACAACTACTACTACTATTACATCTGCTTGGATTATGGATTCCTTCATGGAATGCACAACCTTTGGGAGTCTATGATGATGATGATGACGATGACAACGACTACTACTACTATTACATATGCTTGGGTTATGGATTCCTGCATGGAATGCACAACCTATGGGAGTCTATGATGATGATGACGACGACGACGCTACTACTACATCTGCTTGGGTTATGGATACCTGCTTGGAATGCACAACCTTTGAGAGTCTATGATGATGGTGATGACGACAACGACTACTACTACTATTACATCTGCTTGGGTTATGGATTCCTGCATGGAATGCACAACCTTTGGGAGTCTATGATGATGAGGATGACTACGAGTACTACTATTACATCTGCTTGGGTTATGGATTCCTGCATGGAATGCACAACCTATGGGAGTCTATGATGATGATGATGACGACAACGACTACTACTACTATTACATCTGCTTGGGTTATGGATTCCTGCATGGAATGCACAACCTTTGGGAGTCTATGATGATGAGGATGGGGACGACTACGACTACTACTATTACATCTGCTTGGGTTATGGATTCCTGCATGGAATGCACAACCTATGGGAGTCTATGATGATGATGATTGATGATGATGATGATGACGACAATGACTACTACTACTATTACATCTGCTTGGGTTATGGATTCCTGCATGGAATGCAGAACCTATGGGAGTCTATGATGATGATGAGGATGACTACGAGTACTACTACTATTACATCTGCTTGGGTTATGGATTCCTGCATGGAATGCACAACCTTTGGGAGTCTATGATGATGAGGATGAGGACGACTACGAGTACTACTATTACATCTGCTTGGGTTATGGATTCCTGCATGGAATGCAGAACCTATGGGAGTCTATGATGATGATGATGACGACAACGACTACTACTACTATTACATCTGCTTGGGTTATGGATTCCTGCATGGAATGCACAACCTTTGGGAGTCTATGATGATGAGGATGACTACGAGTACTACTATTACATCTGCTTGGGTTATGGATTCCTGCATGGAATGCACAACCTATGGGAGTCTATGATGATGATGATGACGACAACGACTACTACTACTATTACATCTGCTTGGGTTATGGATTCCTGCATGGAATGCACAACCTTTGGGAGTCTATGATGATGAGGATGACTACGAGTACTACTATTACATCTGCTTGGGTTATGGATTCCTGCATGGAATGCACAACCTATGGGAGTCTATGATGATGATGATGACGACAACGACTACTACTACTATTACATCTGCTTGGGTTATGGATTCCTGCATGGAATGCACAACCTTTGGGAGTCTATGATGATGAGGATGGGGACGACTACGACTACTACTATTACATCTGCTTGGGTTATGGATTCCTGCATGGAATGCACAACCTATGGGAGTCTATGATGATGAGGATGAGGACGACTACGACTACTACTACTATTACATCTGCTTGGGTTATGGATTCTTGCATGGAATGCACAACCTATGGGAGTCTATGATGATGATGACGACGACAACGACTACTACTACTATTACATCTGCTTGGGTTATGGATTCCTGCATGGAATGCACAACCTATGGGAGTCTATGATGATGATGATGACGACAACGACTACTACTACTATTACATCTGCTTGGGTTATGGATTCCTGCATGGAATGCACAACCTTTGGGAGTCTATGATGATGATGATGATGACGACAACGACTACTACTACTATTACATCTGCTTGGGTTATGGATTCCTGCATGGAATGCACAACCTATGGGAGTCTATGATGATGATGACGACAACGACTACTACTACTATTACATCTGCTTGGGTTATGGATTCCTGCATGGAATGCACAACCTATGGGAGTCTATGATGATGATGATGACGACGACGACTACTACTACTATTACATCTGCTTGGGTTATGGATTCCTGCATGGAATGCACAACCTATGGGAGTCTATGATGATGATGACGACGACAACGACTACTACTACTATTACATCTGCTTGGGTTATGGATTCCTGCATGGAATGCACAACCTATGGGAGTCTATGATGATGATGATGACGACAACGACTACTACTACTATTACATCTGCTTGGGTTATGGATTCCTGCATGGAATGCACAACCTTTGGGAGTCTATGATGATGAGGATGGGGACGACTACGACTACTACTATTACATCTGCTTGGGTTATGGATTCCTGCATGGAATGCACAACCTATGGGAGTCTATGATGATGATGATGACGACGACAATGACTACTACTACTATTACATCTGCTTGGGTTATGGATTCCTGCATGGAATGCAGAACCTATGGGAGTCTATGATGATGATGAGGATGACTACGAGTACTACTACTATTACATCTGCTTGGGTTATGGATTCCTGCATGGAATGCACAACCTTTGGGAGTCTATGATGATGAGGATGAGGACGACTACGAGTACTACTATTACATCTGCTTGGGTTATGGATTCCTGCATGGAATGCAGAACCTATGGGAGTCTATGATGATGATGATGACGACAATGACTACTACTACTATTACATCTGCTTGGGTTATGGATTCCTGCATGGAATGCACAACCTTTGGGAGTCTATGATGATGAGGATGACTACGAGTACTACTATTACATCTGCTTGGGTTATGGATTCCTGCATGGAATGCACAACCTATGGGAGTCTATGATGATGATGATGACGACAACGACTACTACTACTATTACATCTGCTTGGGTTATGGATTCCTGCATGGAATGCACAACCTTTGGGAGTCTATGATGATGAGGATGGGGACGACTACGACTACTACTATTACATCTGCTTGGGTTATGGATTCCTGCATGGAATGCACAACCTATGGGAGTCTATGATGATGATGACGACGACAACGACTACTACTACTATTACATCTGCTTGGGTTATGGATTCCTGCATGGAATGCACAACCTATGGGAGTCTATGATGATGATGATGACGACAACGACTACTACTACTATTACATCTGCTTGGGTTATGGATTCCTGCATGGAATGCACAACCTATGGGAGTCAATGATGATGATGACGACGACAACGACTACTACTACTATTACATCTGCTTGGGTTATGGATTCTTGCATGGAATGCACAACCTATGGGAGTCTATGATGATGATGACGACGACAACGACTACTACTACTATTACATCTGCTTGGGTTATGGATTCCTGCATGGAATGCACAACCTATGGGAGTCTATGATGATGATGATGACGACAACGACTACTACTACTATTACATCTGCTTGGGTTATGGATTCCTGCATGGAATGCACAACCTATGGGAGTCTATGATGATGATGATGACGACAACGACTACTACTACTATTACATCTGCTTGGGTTATGGATTCCTGCATGGAATGCACAACCTTTGGGAGTCTATGATGATGAGGATGAGGACGATGACGATGACAACTACTACTAGTACATCTGCTTGGGTTATGGATTCCTGCATGGAATGCACAACCTATGGGAGTCTATGATGATGATGATGACGACAACGACTACTACTACTATTACATCTGCTTGGGTTATGGATTCCTGCATGGAATGCACAACCTATGGGAGTCTATGATGATGATGACGACGACAACGACTACTACTACTATTACATCTGCTTGGGTTATGGATTCCTGCATGGAATGCACAACCTATGGGAGTCTATGATGATGATGACGACGACGACTACTACTACTATTACATCTGCTTGGGTTATGGATTCCTGCATGGAATGCACAACCTATGGGAGTCTATGATGATGATGATGGTGACGATGACTACTACTACTACTACTACTATTACATCTGCTTGGGTTATGGATTCCTGCATGGAATGCACAACCTTTGGGAGTCTATGATGATGATGATGATGATGATGATGTTGATGATGACGATGACGATGACAACTACTACTAGTACATCTGCTTGGGTTATGGATTCCTGCATGGAATGCGCAACCTTTGGGAGTCTATGATGATGACGACAACGGCTACTACTACTACTATTACATCTGCTTGAGTTATGGATTCCTGCATGGTGGGTTGAGCTACATGGTCTCTGGGTTACTAGTATTATTATTATCCTGTTACCCTATTATGTGGGTCTGCAAAATCCATTTGGGACTGGATGGCCATCTGTCAGGAGTGCTTGGGTTGTGGATTCCTGCATGGTGGATTGGGGTTGGACTAGATGGTCTTTGGGGGTCTATTATTATTATTATTATTATTATTATTATTATTATTATTATCCTGTTACCCTATTTTGAGGGTCTGCAAAATCCATGTGGGACTGGATTGCCATCTGTCAGGAGTGCTTGGGTTGTGGATTCCTGTATGGTGGAAAGGGGTTCTCCTTCTTTGGGGGCTTTTAAACAGAGGCTGGATGGCCATATGTTGGGGGTGCTTTGAAGGTGATTTTCCTGCTTCTTGGCAAGGGGTTGGACTGGATGGCCCATGAGGTCTCTTCCAACTCTAGAATTCTATGATTCTATGGTTAGACTAGATGGCCTTTGGGGTATGTTCTTCTTCTCCTCCTCATCATCATCATCATCATCATCATCTTGTTTTCTTTTTTTCAAATGAGTCTTACAACAGTAAATACAATTTGAGGGTTCTATGAACAGTTGAGATGGAATGGCTGATGGTGGAGCCTCCATCTTTGGAGGCCTTTAAACAGGATGGCCCATCGGCCAGGAGATATACCCCACTGGGTGTGGTCCAAGCTTGGTGGCTGACATACATTACCAGCTGTACATAATATTTCATAGAATCATAGAGTTGGAAGAGACCTCCTGGGCCATCCAGTCCAGCCCCATTCTGCCAAGAAACAGGAATATTGCATTCAAATCACCCCTGACAGATGGCCATCCAGCCCCTGTTTAAAAGCTTCCAAAGAAGGAGCCTCCACCACACTCCGGGGCAGAGAGTTCCACTGCTGAACGGCTCTCACAGTTAGGAAGTTCTTCCTCATGTTCAGATGGAATCTCCTTCTTGTAGTTTGAAGCCATTGTTCCTTGTCCTAATCTTCATGGAAGCAGAAAACAAGCTTGCTCCCTCCTCCCTGTGACTTCCTCTCACATATTTATACATGGCTATCATATCTCCTCTCAGCCTTCTCTTCTTCAGGCTAAACATGCCCAGCTCCTTAAGCCGCTCCTCATAGGGCTTGTTCTCCAGACCCTTGATCATTTAGTCACCCTCCTCTGGACACATTCCAGCTTAGAGTCAATATCTCTCTTGAGTTGTGGTGCCCAGAATTGGACACAACATTCTAGGTGTGGTCTAACCAAAGTGGAATAGAGCATGGGGAGAATGACTTCCCTAGATCTAGACACTATGCTAGATTTAACACCAATAAGGTTTTTCTTCAACACACACACACTTGGTCCTGCTACGACTTACTGCAACAGGCTTGTGCTGGGTTGTCCTGCAAGGTAGGGTTGGACTGGATGGCCTTTGGGGTCTATATCTTTGGGGATCATTAAACAGAGACCAAATGGCCATTGGTTGGGAGGACTTCAATTGTAGATTCCTCCTTGGTGGAATGGGGTTAGTCGTGATGGCCTTTGGGTTGAATTATTATTATTATTATTATTATTATTATTATTATTATTATTATTATTATTATTATACTTTTTTTTCTCCACAAGGAGACTCCAAGAAGCTTGAACTACACAGCCTTCAAACTCTAGGATTATATGACCTTTCATGATAGAATGGATGGCGGTGGAGCCTCCATCTTTGAACGTTTTCAAAGAACAGGCTGGATGTCCACCAGTTGGGAGGCTTTGGATAGCATCTTACTGCATGACAGAAAGGGATTGATCTAGATGACCTTTGGGTTCCCTTCCAACTCTATGAACCTTTCAAGGTGGAATGCATGGCCGCAAAGATATTTTGAACGTTCTAAAAGAACAGGCTGGATGTCCATCAGTTGGGAGGCTTTGGATAGCATCTTACTGCACGACAGAAAGGGATTGGTCTGGATGACCTTTGGGTTCCTTTCCAACTCTATAAACCTTTCAAGGTGGAATGCATGGCAGCAAAGTCTATATTTTTGGGCATTTCTAAACAGAGGCTGGAGGATGTCTGCCTTTGGTGCTAGGGTGGTGTCTCCCTGCCTTGCAGAATGGGGGTGGACTAGATAGCCTCTGAGGGTCCCTTCAGGGTTAGACTGGATATAGAGGGCTGTGAAGGTCCTGGTTGGGGGGGGGGGGCAGGTGTGAACCCATGGGATGCTATAGGGAACCTCCCCTCCCCCTGCCTGATTTCAACCCCAGCCCCCCAAAGCAGCCCCTTCCTCACTTTGCGGAAACAGTCGTTGGAGGAAAGGTTGTGGCGGATGGAGTCCTTCCAGCCCTGGTAGCCGTCCTTGAAGAAGGGGAAGCAGGCACTGATCTCCTTGATGATCTGGAAACAAAGAATTGCATTTTTATTTTATACCTTATTCTATATTATCTATATAAACAAAAATGTCATGTTCGTTTGTGGGATTAACATAACTCAAAACCACTGGATGAATTGACACCAAATTCGGACAGAATATGCCTAACAACCCAATGAGTGACCATGACTCAAAAAATTGATTTTGTCATTTGGGAGTTGTAGTTGCTGGGATTTATAGTTCACCTACAATCAAAGAGCATTCTGAACTCCACCAACGATGGAATTGAACCAAACTTGGCACACAGAACTGCCACGAGCAACAGAAAATACTGGAAGGGTTTGGTGGGCATTGACCTTGAGTTTGGGAGTTGTAGTTCACCTACATCCAGAGAGCACTGTGGACTCAAACAGTAATGGATCTGGACCAAACTTGGCACAATATCAATATGCCCAAATGTGAACACTGGTGGAGTTTGGGGAAAATAGACCTTGATATTTGGAAGTTGTAGTTGCTGAGATTTATAGTTCATCTACAGTCAAAGAGCATTCTGAACCCCACCAACAATAGAATTGGGCCAGACTTCCCACACAGAACCTCCATGACCAATGGAAAATACTATGTTTTCTGATGGTCTTCGGCGACCCCTCTTAAGTATTTAGGTGTTGTTATTGTTTTTTTTTCAAAAATTTGGAATACTTGTATTTGTATATAGAGTCTCACTTATCCAACATAAATGGGTCGGCAGAACGTTTGATAAGTGAAAATGTTGGATAATAAGGAGGGATTAAAGAAAAGCCTATTAAACATCAAATTACCTTATTATTTTACAAATTAAGTACCAAAACATTAAATCATCAGAAAACAAGGGTGTCATTATCTTCTTTTCCTCCTTCCTTCACTCCCTCTTTCCTTCCTTCCCCTCTTTCCTCCTTCCTTCCTTCTCTATCTCTTTCCTTCCTTCCCCCTTTTTCTTTCTCTTCTGCTGTGTCTCTTTTCTTCCTTCTCTCTTTCCTCCTTTCTTTCCCTCCCTCTTTCTCTACATTTTATCCCCTTCCTTCGCTCCCTCTTTCCTTCCTTCTTCCTTTATCTCTTCTGCAGTCTCTCTTTTCTTCCTTCTCTCTTTCCATCTTTCCTTCCCTCCCTCTTTCTCTACATCTTCCCCCCTTCCTTCGCTCCTTCTTTCCTTCCTTCTTCTCTTCTGCTGTCTCTCTTTTCTTCCTTCTTTCTCTAACTTTCCTTCCTCCCCCTTTTTCTTTCCCTCCCTCTTTCTCTCCTTTCTTCCTTTTCTACCTCATTCCTTCCTTCCTTCTTTCTTTCCCTCCCCTCTTTCTCTCCTGTCAGGGGTGATTTGAATGCAATATTCCTGCTTCTTGGCAGAATGGGGTTGGACTGGATGGCCCATGAGGTCTTGTCCAACTCTTTGATTCTATGATTATATGACCTACTGTGTGAAGCTCCTGTGTAACTTTGGGTGGCAAGTGGGCATAACTTTGAGAGGAGAGTCTGTGAGAACGAAACTGTTTCTGCATGAGAAAGAAGCCCAGCGTGGAAGCGGTATGGTTTAGAAGGGGCGGGCTTGAGGTACCTGAGGAGGTATTAGGGAGGGGGGATGGGTTTAGAAGGGGCGTGGCTTGGGGGTAAGGTGAGGAGGGAGGAGGGGAGGGGGGATGGGTTTAGAAGGGGGCGTGGCTTGGGGGTAAGGTGAGGAGGGGGGATGGGTTTAGAAGGGGGCGTGGCTTGGAGGTAACGTGAGGAGGGAGGAGGGGAGGGGGGATGGGTTTAGAAGGGGGCGCGGCTTGGAGGTAACGTGAGGAGGGTAGAGGGAGGGGGGATGGGTTTAGAAGGGGGCGTGGCTTGGAGGTAACGTGAGGAGGGAGGAGGGGAGGGGGGATGGGTTTAGAAGGGGCGTGGCTTGGGGGTAAGGTGAGGAGGGGAGGGGGGATGGGTTTAGAAGGGGGCGTGACTTGGAGGTAACGTGAGGAGGGTAGAGGGAGGGGGGGTGCGCGTGTGTGTGCGCGCGGGGGGGAGAGGGGGCGCACAGCGCGCGTGTGTGTGCCGCGCCAGGGGAGTGAGGGGGCACGCGGGCGCGTGTGCTGCGCCGGAGGGGGGAGAGGGGGGCGCGTGCGCCGGGGGGTGTGAGGGGGCACGCGCGCATGTGTGCCGCGCCGGGGGGGTGAGGGGGCGCGTGCGCGCGTGTGTGTGCATGTGTGTGTGTGCCGCGCCGGAGGGGGGAGAGGGGGCGCGTGCGCGCGCGTGTGTGCCGCGCCGGGGGGGTTGGGGGTGCGCGCGCGTGTGTGCCGCGCCGGGTGGGAGAGGGGGCACGCGTGTGTGTGTGTGTGCCGCGCCGGGGGGGGAGGGGCCGTGCGCGCGCGCGTGTGTGTGCCGCGCCGGGGGGGAGGGTGAGGGGCCATGTGTGTCCGCGCCAGGGAGTTTGCGCCAGTGCGCATGCTCAGTTGCTTTGTCGTTTATTGTGGTTGTTGTTGTGTGTTTTTGATTTCTGAGTGGATTAGTTTGTACCTTGTTGGTTGCCCTTGGGGCATGGGAAGTTTGGTGGCGTTTCGTTGGGGGGTTTTTGAGTTTTGTTTCGCCATACGACAGTAAATCTATATATATAAATTTGTTAGGGGCATCCAACGGAGACAAAACTCAAAAACCCCCAACGAAACTTAACCAAAATTCCCATGCCCATAACACAACCCACAAGGTACAAACATATCTACTCAAAATGAAAAACAACACAACAACACACTCACAAAACGGCAAAACAACAAAACTCAAAAAACCCCAACGAAACTTAACCAAAATTCCCATGCCCATAACACAACCCACAAGGTACAAACATATCTACTCAAAATGAAAAACAACACAACAACACACTCACAAAACGGCAAAACAACTGAGCATGCGCATTGGCGCCCAGCCGCAAGTTCCCTGGCGCACGCACATGGCCTTCCGGCCAATGTTCCCTCTGCGGAAGCCATGTCCACTCCAAGCCCTGCCGCGCCGCTTTCCACACACGCACACACCCTGCCGCACTCACACACACAACCCCACGCTCCATCACTCCCCTCGCCACCGCACACGCAACCCTACGCTCCATCACTTCCCCGCCGCCACCCACCCGCAACCCCACGCTCCATCACTCCCCCCGCCACCGCACACACACACACCCCACGCTCCATCACTCCCCCCCCGCCGCACACACACAGAAACCCCCCACCCCCCCCCCGCCGCACACACACACACACAACCCCACGCTCCATCCTCCCCCGCCGCCGCACACACACACGCAACCCCACGCTCCAACACTCCCCCTGCCGCCGCACACACACACGCAACCCCACTCCCCCCGCCGCCACACACACACGCAACCCCACGCTCCATCACTCCCCCCGCCGCCGCACACACACACACAACCCCACGCTCCATCACTCCCCCGCCCCAATCTTACCTCCTTTTACTTCACGCCACCTCCAAACCCCACCCGCCCCTTCCCGCCCTGTCAAAATCCAGGAAAGACAGGAAGGAAGGAAAGGAAGAAAGAGAAAGGGAAGTAAAGAAAAGGGGAAGGAAGGAAAAGTTAGAGAAAGAAGGAAGAAGAAAAGGGAAAGAAAAGGAAAAGGAGAAGAGAAGGAAAGAGAGAGAAAGAAGAGAAGAAAAAGGGGAAGGAAGGAAAGAGTTAGAGAAGGAAGAAAGAGAGAAAGAAGGAGGAAAGAAAAAGAGAAGGAAGAAGAAGGAAGAAGGAAAGAAAAGGAAGAAGGAAGGACAGAGGGAGCGAAGGAAGGAAAGAGATAAAGAGAAGGAAGAAAGGAGAGAAAAAGGGAGAAGGAAGGAAAGTTAAGGAAGGAAGGAAGGAGAGAAGGAAAGAAAAAAGGGAAAGAAGGAAAGAAAGAGTGAAGGAAGCGGGGATATGTAGATAAAGAGGGAGGGAAAGTAAGAAGGAAAGGGAGAAGGAAGCATGGAAGCAAAGAGAGAAGGAAGGAAAGAGATAGAGAAGGAAGGAAAGAGATAGAGAAGGAAGAGGAGAAGGAAAGATGGGAGGGAAGGAAGGAAGGAAGGAAGGAAGGAGGGAAAGAAGGAGAGAAAGAGGGAAGGTTGGCCACAGCAACACGTGGCGGGTAAAGGTTGTTATTTCTATTATTATTATTATGCTATTGTTCCTATGAGACCCTTTTAGGGGGAATGGGAGAGGTGTCAGGTCCCAGAGGCAATGCATTGCATTATTGTTATTGTTATGATGGTGGTGAAATAAAAGGAAATAAAAAGTGAAAGAAGGAAGCAAACAGGGAGGGAAGAAAGGCAAAGGAAGAAAGGGGGAGGGAATGAAGGAAAGAGAGAAGGATGAAACCAAGTAGTGAAAGAAGGAAAGAAAGAAAGAGGTAGAGAAGGAAGAAAGGAGAGAAAGGGGGAGGAAAAGGGGGAAGGAATAGGTAGGACCTCTCTTTCATAATAGTCCAGATATCTACCTCAACTTTGATAAGTTTTACTATAGGCCACAGCAACGCGTGGCAGGGCACAGCTAGTGGCTTTATAAATTAAGCACCAAAACACCATGTTTCACAACAAATCAACCGAAAAAGCAGTTCAATACATGGTAACGTTATGTAGTAATTACTGCATTACTAGAGGTCAGGGCACAAGGGAGCCATGAGTTCAAATGGCAGGGAAAGAGATCTGACTGAAAAGATTTAGAAGAACTTCCTGAGGAGTGGTATAGGTTGCCTGGGAGTGTGATGGAGTCTCCTTCTCTGGAGGCTTTCCCGCAGAGACTGTCTATCGGGTGTGCTTTGATTGTGCCTTCCTGTATGACAGGGGGTTGGACTAGATGGCACTTGGGGGTCTCTTCTAGCTCAAGGATTCTATATCAGGAGTAGGCAATATGGGGTCTCATCTGCACTGCAAAATGAATGCAGTTTGGCATCAGTTCAACTGCCAAGGCTCAATGAGAAGAAATCCTGGGAGCTGTAGTTTTCATAGAATCACAGAATCCAAGAGTTGGAAGAGACCTCATGGGCCATCCAGT